CCGCCCGCCTCCCCCCGCAGGCCCGCGGCGGCCCAGGGTGGGCAAGTTTCTCTCCGTGCTTTGGAACACCTGAGATGGTCTGAGGAAGATGCTAACTCAGAACGCAGGTAAACGACCGGGGGTAGGGGATGGGCGGAGTGTCACAAACTCCCTCAAAAAAGCGTTTCTGGCCGATTTCAGCGAGAAATTTCTCTAACATTCTTGGACTCCTGGGTCTTGGAAGTGGGGATAAGAGCATATCTGCGAATTAGCTACCAGACCTTGATCAAGTTGTTTAACCTTTGTGGACTTGGTAAAATGAGGAATTTGGAGTAGATGGCCTCTAAGATCTGGACCAGTATTTCTAATAGCGTGGGCCAGATCTCAGGGTCACCTGGAGGGAAGGGCAGGTGCTTGTTAACAAGGCAGAGTACTGTGTCCCTCCCCTTGGACGCGGAGGAGTGGAGAACCGCCTCGATCTTATGACACGGTATGCGTCTTCCAGGTCTGAAACTCAGTGGAAACTGGATCCTTGGGAATCCGTCTTGCAGGTGCCAGTTTGATTTTCCAGCAAATTACTCAATGCTTTTGGAGTCAGGATGATGTCAGTTGGCTCCCGCTTACCTCCTGTGCTGCTATTACAGTATTACTAAGGCGCTCGAGGTCCTATATGAAAGGTATTGTATCAACTCATTATTATTAGATAAAGAAGCAGTGACTTGAAAGTATTTCTCTGTTGAGTTTGTATGGCAATCAAATTTAGCTTCTTATAAGTTCAAGTTCATATATATTGTGTGGCTACAGACTCTTTTCTGGATTACTTAGTTAAATTTGGTACTTATGACCCAAACTAAATGGTAAGGAGCAGAGATTAGAGATTTGATAATGCATTCAGTTAACATACATTAAAGGAAATAATGAGTGGTAAATTGTACCCACAACTTGGAACAATTATTTCAAAAACTTGTGCTTCTGTACCAGAATGATTCAGGTGAGTTATTTGAAGTGCCTCTTTTATTGACAGTCAATAGCTCAACTCATCACAAAACAGCACATTACCAATCTACGTGTCATTTCTTGTATTCCAAGATAATTGTTTTGCTAATCTCTCTTCTCTTCTTGGTCTCCCTAGGTTTGCATTATTTATTATTAATTGTTTGAGTCACAACAAAGCGCTGTAAAGCAAGAAGAGCTTTCTTGGTCCTGGGATGTCTTTTCATAGAACCGTTTTGCCTGATACAATACATGTAAACCATTGAGCCAATTTTGGGGAGAAGTTGGGCTTCAGGGTCCGTGGAGCTGTCTACAAAGCATTGTCTGCTATTTTCCTTCTTTGTTCTATTCATTCTATTCATTTCCATTTTACGTCGGTTGCTTCCTTTACAGTAAATGCTGGAAAATCATCATGGCAACAGTCTCTGGAGAAAATGTTATAAATGATTTCTTAATTATTGTTCCTTTGTAGGCATCTGTGCTACAAGTCCTCAAAGTGAAAGGACTGTTGTTCCCTATTGTATCTAGTGCACTGAAGAGAGTCCAGAATAAAGTGTCTCAAAATGTTTTCAGATGTCCCCAGTTAGAGACTTCTAATTACCTATGGTGTCTCCTAGCCATGCCAGTTTGGATATTAAATTACTACCTACTTTTAAATCATCAAATTAGACTAATGGCAAGAGCCCAGAAACAGATCCTCCTCACTTTGAAATGAAAATAAAATGTAATGCTAAGCCAAACAAAGACACACCTGGTTCTTTTGAAGCACAACACTGGGCATGTAAATGGATGGCTCATATGCTTACATCTCTGACTGGCAGAGTAACAGTTGCCATGAACCCAGCCATGCCCACATTCTCCCATGCACCAAAATACAGTCATAGTACAATAACATAGTATGATGTCATGTTATGCCTCTTAGCTATTATTTACACGAGGCCTCTGTATTTATAGCAAAATATCCGTTCAACTCAACAGCCCACCTGAGAGACTTAGCCAGCTCCAACTGTGGTAAACACAAGTTTTGCAAATTGATCAAACTGAAAGCAATCTGTGACTTGGTACACAAGCATGCTGTGGCATATGGCGAGAACCACTGAAGCAGACATTCAGCACATACTGGCGTATTGTACTGAGCAGGACGAAAACATGGTCTGAGGCACGCAAGCGAGTTGGACATCCTCATGCCATTAAAGGAAATAAATTCACCACTCTTGAAGATAGGCAGCAACTCCTCTCTGTCACAGCATAGATTTCTCTGAACTAGAGTTGTTTTCCTTCCTGCATCTCACACTAGACTGTGAGTTCCTTGTCTTTGCATCTCGAGTACCTAAATAAGAATGGCAAAGAATTTCATCCCGGAGGCAAATTCTAGTCTTGTCCTTGGGTGCCATGTTGAGAAGGACGGTGGGGCTGCATCTGGGTTTGGCAAGAAAGAGTATAAGTTGACTAGTAACTGAGTCTCTGCCATGGGCACAGAAGGGGGGATGTATTGACACTAGTATCATATTTCATCTACCCTGAGAGTAGTAGGAGATAATAATGTTAAATGATTGGCCAGGTGGATGAGTGAACTTAAGAACAACACAGAGTATCTTTAGCCAAAGAGGCAGGTGTAATATTAATTAATCTGAGGCAGGATGAGACCATCTTACTATGTGGCCTCTATTTTATTGACAATGTTAGTACTAACGACAAAAGGAGATTGGTTTAGAGCTAAACACTGCTTGTTAGGAGGCTAACACTGCCAACCTCAAGGAACAATCTTTTGCTACAATATTTTTTACCACATTGGGAGCATTTGTGTGAGCCTGGGATGAAAATAGCTGGCCAGGAAAACAGCTCTGTTCCTCTTTGTCCAAGAGTCCAATCACACCCTGTACAGGCCTGAGCTCCTTATCTCGTTCTGGTCTTATTTCCTGCCAAACCTGGAAACTAACAGAAATAAATGTTGGCTAATTGCTCCCTTGGCCAGTGTGATCTTTCTGACCATTGTCCTGACTCAAGAGAAAGTTGTGTCCAACATGCAGGTGTTCACTGCCAATTTAGTAGACGGTCTCTCCGCCAATCAATGGACTTTCTGCCAATTGAATCAGAGTCCAACGTTTTAGAGTTTGAAGAAAAATTAAAATGAATATACCATGATTCAATGAAATTGTATATGTAAAGTGGTAAGCATGGAGCTTAGCATGCAGTAAGCACTCAACAAATGATAGTTGTTATTACAATTATTGTAATCAGTAACACTGGGGCTTAGAAGGATATTATTTCAAAAGCACTCTTATTGAATTGGTAAATAAAGTATTGGATTAAAAAAAATTCCGTAACTCACCTCGTTTTACACAAGAGAAGATTGAGGCCTTAGGGTTAAATATTTACCTAATGGCATGAAACTAGTAGAGGCAGTCCCTGAATTAGAACCTAGAAAAGTTTTTAGCAGAAATAAATGTATCCTTTAGAGGAATCCTGTTGTATACTCTTGTTATTTGTTTTACTCTCAAATGCAAAGCATTGAATTAATCATGCTGCTCAGCTCACAATAAAAAGCAATAAAAATAAGAGACATTAACATGTCTCTCTCAGGCCAGGTCAGGTCTAATGGATCAAATTAAGTAGTCATATAGAAAACCTAAACAACATAATAAGTAAGATAGATCTCATGGATATATTGGAATTTACACCACAAAAACAGAGAATATACTTTCTTCTCAAGCACATATGGACTCAGTCATGAAAACTGGCTTTATATTATGTCACAAAGAACTCCTCAATAGTAGAATAAAGTATAAATAATGCAAATAGTATTTTAATTAAACAATAATAGTACTAAATACTATAATAAAATGAAAATTGATAACAAAATCAGAAAATAAACAGCCCTTTCCACCTGGAAATTTTAAGGGTGCTGCTAAAGAAGTGTTGGATGAAATGGAAAATATATACAAATTGAACTCAAATAATTTCTAAAGAAATAATGATAATAGAAAAATACTTATCAGAATCTCTTAAAAACAAATCAGTGATTACAGAAAAATTTATAGCTTTCAAATATTTATAAAATGAAAATAAAAGAATGACTATAAACAAATTACATTTCTAACTCAAAAACGTAAACCAGGGCTGGCCCCATGGCTTAGCGGTTAAGTGCGTGCGCTCCGCTGCTGGTGGCCCAGGTTCGGATCCCCGGGTGTGCACTGACGCACCGCTTCTCCCGCCATGCTGAGGCCACGTCCCACATACAGCAACTAGAAGGATGTGCAGCTATGACATACAACTATCTACTGGGGCTTTGGGGGGAAAAAATAAATAAGTAAAATTATTTAAAAAAAAAAAACGTAAACCAAAGAAAAGCAGAAGGAAAAAAATAAAAAAGCAGAAATCAATGAAGTTGAATATAGAGAACCATTAGGATCAATAAATAAATCAGCATGCTGATTATCTGGGGAACAAAAAGGTTTTAATAGCAGACCACAAATAAACCTAATCCAGAAAAAGAGGAAGAAAGCATGAGCATTCAAAGTAAGAAATGATAAAAGGGGTATAGCTGTTAAAACAGAAAATTACGTAGTATTATGTAATTATTTTCATGGTATTATGACAATACATTTGAAAACCTAGGTTTACTGGAAATCATAATATGCGAAAATTAATCCTAGTAAAGATAGAAAGTCTAGACAAACCAATTTTATTAGAAGAAATAAAGATATCAAAGAACTACCCTCACAAAAAAGTACCAGGTCCAGATGGGTTCCCAAGAAAATTCTTCTAAATCCCCAAGATCTGGTACTTAGACACTATATACATTGTTTCAGAGCATTTTATTTGATTTAATTTATTTTTTATTTTTGCTGAGGAAGATTCACCCTGAGCTAACATCTCCGCCCATCTTCCTCTATTTTGTACGTGGGTCGCCGCCACAGCCACTGACAGGTGGTGTAGGTCCACACCTGGGAACCAAACCCAGGCCACTGAAGCAGAGGGTGCCTAATTTAACCACTAGGCCACAGGGCTGGCCCCCTCAAAGCATTTTAAAAGAAGAAAACCTTCTAAATTGTTTTTACAAAGCTAGTATAACATCAATTCCAAAATATAACAAAGACTGCACCACTCTCACTTATGAATATGGATGTAAAAAATTCTAAGTCAAATATTAGCAACAGAATCCAAAAGCACATTTAAAAGAATAGTTTATGCAGTCCCACTCCTGAGTATTTACCCAAATGAGTTGAAAACTTATATCCACACAAAAACCCATACATGGATGTTTATAGCAGCTTTATTCATAATTACCAAAATGTGGAAGCAGCTAAGATGTCCTTCAGCAGGTGAATGCATAAATAATCTGCAGTATATCCGCTGGAATATTATTCAGCACTAAAAAGAAATGCACTATCAAGCCATGAAAAGACACAGATGAATCTTAAATGCATATTACTAAGTGAAAGGAGCTAAGCTAAAAGGCTACATACTGTATGACCCCAACTATGTGACATTGTGAAAAAGGCAAAACTATGGAGACATTAAAAAGGTCAGTAGTGGGCCGGCCCCGTGGCTTAGCAGTTAAGTGCGTGCGCTCCGCTGCCGGCGGCCCGGGTTCGGATCCCGGGTGCGCACCGAGGCACCACTCCTCCAGCCATGCTGAGGCCGTGTCCCACGTACAGCAACTAGAAGGATGTGCAGCTATGACAGACAACTATGTACTGGGGCTTTGGGGGAAAAATAAATAAA